TAGTAATAATATTTTACAGCGAACTATTAATCCAACATAGAAACTACTAGAGTAATTACATAGTGTCACTAAACAGCTTTAGTGATCTGGGTTGAACTGATCTATCTACTCTAATTAATCACAAACTAACTCCAGTACGTGTTCTGTTCGGAAATTTCCAATAGTAGATAGTTGAGATAGACGACAAGGGTTCAGACAAATTAAGTCTTATTTATTATAAGCTACTTCGTAAATTAGTACTAGTGTACTCTACAATAGTCTTAGCTGCAAACAAGGAGCATCAAGCTCCATAAGGCATAGACATTATTTCTATCCGTTAGAGTACGATGAACTAACCATATTCTAATATGAATTCGTTACAGTGTTATACGGTGTAATATCCAGATTAGAGTAGAAAGATCTATTGCAATTCAAATTACTGTGATTGCAACTTACTTATGGTAGATTGTAGATCATCGTGGGCATGTTCCGCGATAGGACATATTGTAATCTGACCATTTCTTATTAGTCATTAGATGTCTATGTTCGCAAATACTGTTGTCTTTATTAGATAGCCGTAGATAAAATTAGCTTTTGATTCATTAGAAGATTTCAACGTTAATATTACTATCTAGAATTTCTAAACTACTGTAAAAGAGTATAGAAATGCCTCATATCGTACAATAAAGTTAGTTCTTTACATTAGTGTTCACCATGAAATACTGTACAAGTGTCACAAACCTGCTTCGTGACAAAGATAATGTAAAACAAATCTCTAAATTACTGTAGTCTCCGGTATTTAGTGTCCCTGAACTATCTCAGAAGAATTTAAATGCCTTCGCTTCTACGTTATACAACTGTAGAACTCTGCTTTATTTAACTATCTGCCGAGCTTAAATACTCTTTGGTAGCTGCTATCATGTATGAGTCATAACGGTTCATGAAATTTAGTTCATATTGGATAGCTAAATTAATACAGAAATTATTCATAATCTTAGACATGTACTGAATGATTCTAGATAATTAGATTACAGTATGTCCATACACAGAATTATTTATAGTATCCTCTACAATTGAATATCTTCAGAATATTCATCACAAGCGTTACAAGATATAACACTATAATCAATTAACATTAGTTACCTTATAAAAACTCTTACTACAGTAAAGCATAATTTATTGCAACAAACTAATAACTACCGTAGTTCTTACTGTAAGTCATTATTAGCTATCTCCATATATAAATATTAACCACTAAATTTAGTCATTTACTCTTCACGATGGTTTGTACCGTAATAACAAGACTTTTATGTCTTTGTGTAGTCTACTAGTATAGGAAAAGTGTTCCTGATAGGGTGGATGTTGCTCCCTGATACGTGGTTTAGTCAATCGACTTATTGATCCTACATTACGTTATCTTGTTGCAGAGCTGCTGTGTAACAGAATTACAGTTCTATTTTTACCTCTGACCCCAACGGTAACTCGATATATTGTATATAGTTATTTGTACTCTGGCATAGAATTTCCACCACAGCCTATGGTCATGAGCTATCAAATATGTCTCAAGATATCTATAGAAAGCCATACTACTGTACACTTTACTAAACACGGATAATAATCTAAAATTCCAATACTTAGCTATGTTACAACATTATAGTTTTATGCCCTATTACTGAGCTAATTCTTTACAGAAAGTAACCTTTCAGTCATCATGTATTATTTTATCTGTCACGAAAGCAGTCTTCGTGTAATTTATTTTATTTCTATGTAACGTTCTATATATGTTTATATCTCAGAAATATTTACGGTTTCCTTAATTGTAACTCTAGTAGCTAACAAAGAATATATTAGTAATCCTTACTTTAAGATCAGATAGACTAAGATAGTAATTACCAACTAGTTGAAATAGATTGTATCTATAACCTCCAATAATGTTAAGGTTAAAAATACAATTTCTAAGTTTAGACGAAATATCTTATTAAGATAGCCTAATATGTGTTTTTAAACTATTATTAAGGATTGGATAATTAATACTGAAAATACAATAAATTTGATAGGATTAGACTGTGTTTAATCTGTACTAATAGAGGTTCTAATTAAAAGCTAAAGCTGTTACTAGCTCGTAATATTATGTTATACGTATATGAGGTAGAAGTTTACAAAATTACTTTGTCTTCAATTACAGAGATATCAGTTACAATAATTTGGTACGAAATGGAATTAGAGTAGAAGAACAAGTTTTATTTAAATTATTAAAGCTGCCTCCTGCTATGTAAGTAATTAATAAATGCTAATTATCAGATAATAGGACGCTTCAGTTAATTGCTACCATAAAGTGAAATAATTTCTGGAGGCTAATTCTTGTTCTTTAAATTTATAAAATGTAAATAGACTTTTGGCAGGAAACAACATTAAATCTATTCCAATGTCATTCTTAAAATGGAATCTCTATATCAGAACATTGTGAGTAAATGACATAGCAATAAACTTATAAATAACCGATTGATAATGAGAAGAGAATATTAATAAATCTAAAACTGGTTAAGAATTTACCGTAAATATAGCAAATCGATAGCTTATTATGATAATGTGTCATCTCGGATACGTAACAAGAACTACAGTTTCTTGTAAACTCCACCTTATTACGTAAGATTATGTTCGTCTCACAACCACCAAGAAATATCTGACTGCAATCAGACTATCCAAATTATCACAGCGATACTCATGATTTATATACAATTCGCCACGCAATGATCTTCCTTCGAATACAATCATATCGTACCAATTAAGTTACAAGACCATATCTAAATTTACTAATGCGCTATCAACTCATAATTCGCACTTCTAATTTAAAGTGTCACAATACAAATTTCACAGTACTAAGATACTTAGCGCTATCTATTATTGTCTCAGAATCTCAATATAAGCATCTTAATACAATTACTACAATAAGTACTGTAAACATCTTGCACAAATAGTCAGTTAAGATAATCTTACACTCTTACTTACAGTTTAATTTAAACTATTCTCATACAATCTTGAATAGTAATTTAAGCTATATTTGGTGCTGCACTACACTTATACTACAAATTATCTTCGCTAACATCATTGAAATGTTGCTAAGATAATGATAGAGATCTGCTTACTAATTAAGGTGATCTCCATGGCATGCTATCAAAAATGATTTGTACGAATAATATTTATTGAAAAAATATTAATGTTAAAAATTGTACAGCTTATGTGAAGTCTTTTTCTTGCAAATCAGAAGTAATCTTAACGATTATCCTATTATGTTCTCAATCTCTAGTTCTATTGGTAGTAATAATATGTCACTATCTGCAATTGAACAAGCTATGCGAGGTCTTTATATCGCCGATGTATGCGTACCACCTAAAATCTACCGTTATTTAGAATATTATAGCTGTAACCGTTATTCACTGTAAGTGAACAAGTTGTCAATAATTCTCACATAACCAGTGATTTACTTACTCCTAATTACACGTCCATAATTCCTACCTATATCTAACGAGCATTGTAATGCCGCTTTTTGCAAATTATTAATCTTATGCTCTATTTTACGTACGCTTAATTTGATCAGAGACTTAAGCGATAGCAGGCTAAACAAAATTCCTTCTGGCAGCTTCGTTCACCTTAATGGCTTATTAAGAGTCTTGTAAGTCGATTTAGCTAACCTAAGTTATTAGCTACAGTTTAAAGATCTAAAAAATGCTTAAGCACATACACGTATCCCGTTGCTAACTTTCAATTTTATTTTTTAATAATTACATCCGGTGTATGTATCATTGATCAATATTCTTACAACTCGCTTTTGCAATAATACTTAACAAAACGTAAATAGCAATAGACCTGAAAATTTTATTCGAGATTGTATCTTACATAAAACTTTCCGCTTATATCTTATTTGCATAACAGAAAATTAAATAATAATTATATCAAAACTATTGATGCATCAGCCATATTTCGAGATAGTGACAGCAATTTACGAGAACTGTGAGTTTATTACTTATAATTGTCATGAATAGATATCCGAATAGGATTGATAATTTTAATAAAATGATCGGTTTCATACGATATGCCTTTTAAATGTAACGCGGTATGATTATTTCATACGCTAGCGCATAACTGCTCTCATAAAAGCTGTAGAAATATTGAATGCTGACTGAATATCTATTGCATACTGATTTAGTCATTTGGCCAATAATGAAATATCGAACTTTACTAATCCAAGCAAAGTGCAATTCGTTGCCTTAAGATTACTGTAAAGTAAAACATTTCCTGTAGACTAGTTTTATAAATTATAGAATTATAATAGTACTAATCAGGCCATATTTTATTTACTATATAGCAATTTAACTCGAAACAGACTGGCTAATATCTGCGGAAGATCGGAGTTATTAGGAGTTGCTTCCAATTTATTGGAAATGTAAATTGCCATTTTCCAATATATTCTTTGTTAGAATAACATAAATCTGATATTCAGTTTGCTTGCAAATCTACAGATATTTAGATTTCAATCAAATTAGAGTGCTAAAACCTAGATGCTTTGGCACCCTCTTCAAGTTACAGACACTGTGTGTGTTATCATTAATAATAATTTAGGGAATGATAGAATTATTTTCATTTGGTATAGATAGCATCTTTAATTTATAGACTATAGATGAAGTCTAGTAGTTTAAATAGTAATACTTATTCCTTTCACTTATCTACTGAGTCAATACATCGTACATTTCTTAATTATTTCTTTCAGATCCATCAAATCGAATCCATTAGTAACTTTACAGGATATCTCATTTTATGGTTCTACAACGTTAGGCTCAGTGTAAGCTGTCATGTTTTATTAATTAAGTTCTATAACAGTTTCTTAATTTTTAATAACATCTTGTAGTAAATTTTGTAAGTGAATATTCTATTTTTATCACTCAACATTAACATATAGAGCTTCTACGCGTGCATATTTATGCTGCATTGTTCCTGCTAAGATTACTACTTGCTCGCCAGCTCCTGATTTAGATTCGGCTTCGAGTTGTGAAAATATTCTCGCTCACACCTCTTTACAACTAGCTGTTTGGATTATGGCTTTAGCTGCCTTTATAGGAAATATATTAGTCATCGCTAACAATCGTTCTAATAAAAATCGCAAGATAAGTAAAGCAACTGAATTGGTCTTTACCAATTTAGCCATATCCGATTTCTTAATGTCTCTCTATCTAATCATCATTGGTATTGGCGATTTTGTTTATCGTGATCGTTATGCTCAATATTCTGAAGAGTGGCTTCGCAGTCCAGCCTGCGTTGTTGCATCATTTTTAATATGTACATCAAGTTTAATGTCAGTTCTTATGATGTTATTTATTGGTATCGATCGTTACTCAATTGCTTCGAATCCATTTTTAGCATCAGATACAAGATATAAAAGGACTAAAATATCACTACTATTAGGATGGTTACTAACAAGCATTTTCGTAGGTATACCTATCTCTATGGGTATTGATGAACCTGGTGATAGACGTTTATATCAATTTAGTTCAATTTGCACTCCAAGTAATTTAAGTAACAATTTCTATGCTGGCTGGACAATCGCGTTTGTTGTACTCCAACTTGTATGCTGGATGCTAACTTTAACACTTTACCTTAAGTTGGTAGCGACGGTCAATAAAACACAGCGTTCTGTTCGTAGCAGTGCTCAATCGCGCAGCTTTGCGGTAGCTATCCGAATATCGCTAATTCTAATAACGGATTTAATGGCTTGGTTACCAGTTTATGTTATTTCTGTTATGTCGATCATCCAAGGTACTCTAAATGTATTTATACTGCAATTCGCCGTCATTTTAGCTATCCCCCTGAATTCAGCTATTAATCCATACATTTATACCGCTACTGGAACAGCTTGCTTTAACCGCTTAACATCTACGAATAAATCAAAATCAGTTTATTCTTCAACAACACGAAATATTTCCATGCATCAGAATAGCACGTATGGTAATAAGCAGAAGCGTACGAGAGTTGCTCCTTTTTCCAAATATGAAACTATTATAAACGAAGACGTCGGTGATTCTACTTCCAAAGCTATTAATGATGGGTATCAAGCAGAACCTAATCAGATTAATAATAGTACGACTATCCGAACAGCTAATCAGAAAACAAAAATTTCCTGTAATGAAATAACGACTACTGCTATCCATTGTGCTCCGGATGCTGCCTTCTTATTAAGTATGCAAAGAAATAAAAGGTACAGCGCACCTTCATGCGTACTTGCCGACATGTTAACTACAAGCTGCGATCATACCATATCTCATGAAGCGAATACCAAAAAATACTTAATAATAGATGTAAGTAATTTCGCACAAACCCATAAAGCCAAAAATGCATCTTCGACGAGTGACAGAGCTGCTACGTCCGAACTTGGTATCATAAATCCCGTATATGATGAGGATAAAGGTCAGAATGTTAAGCCTGTTCATAATATGCTAGAAAATTTTAGCTGTAAGGGCAGATACAAGCCATCATTTATGTAATATTTACTCTAATGGAGAAAAAGATAAAGAGCAATATTCGAAACCAAATAAAATTCACTACAGAAACATGAAAAATCAAGGTTGCGCATTCCTTTTATATTGTAATAATGCACTTCCTTCTGCTTTACCCTAACTAATCATCCAGTAATAAATCTTATAATGTAGTGGTTTAAAATAGATTATTACTTAAAAGTATTGTTGAATATTACAGTCGTAGAACTCATGACTAATGCAACTGCACATACGTAATTAGCACTCAGATTAATTATCGGCTGAACTTCTCTCTAAGAAGTCAGCCTTTTAAATCCTTCTAAAGGAATGTTAACAAATGTGTTCGCAAATGTTTTTCCGTAGTCAATTCAACTAAAAACCTAACTTAATCTATAGTTTCCCTTGTATTACTCAGTACGTAGTATGGCTCCTTTAGATACATGATTCCTAACTAGGTATAATTGCCATTCCTCACCGTGAGCCAATTATACACAAGTTGCTGAAATACGCTAATACCGCTTACCGAGGCGCCTTCAGTCTTACTTAAAGTTACAGCTATTGTCTCCTATAATCACTCACTAATAGTGGATGACTATTTTAACACCTAAAGTGATCCTTGACGCCACTAATCCACTCAGATTAAGCGCTACTAGTTCTGATGACTACCGCGGTTTTCCTGTAAAACCTTTTTTCCTTTGCACATCAACATCATTTATTTCTCTTAAAGTCTAAATATATTATTGTTCTAATTGAAATTTTATCCATCCACAGGTGGACAAACTACAAGATACAATAATGTTGCTTTACGAAGAAGTAACTCTTGGTAATTCCTTTACGAAAATTGCATCCCATGGAACTCCCATTGCACATGCATAAAGCTAAAAAAATACTTCATTAATTATTTCGCACTTTCTTTAATATTCAATCTTAATAGCATATATCTAACTAGATAATTAATCAGACTGGATTATTTGCACTAATTGTAATCAACTTTTCAATATCCAGCCGTATTCAATTTTTATACTTATTAAGTTAGCATCGAATACAAAATACACAACTAATACTAGTACCAAAAATACTACATCTGTACCATTCTATATGATCTCATACAGGATTTCCATTCCGTAACTTTTTATGGCGTTAAAATATGTACTACTTCTTCAAATAGCAATTTTAGCATAAGCAATGACAGCTTAATACAAATTTTAATTAACATATCATTAATTACTATTTTAATACAATTGTGAGGTGCCTATGTAATAAAATGTATAAGCTTCATCTACAGTTTACCTTTTCTACATTGGAATAAGATTGTCATTTTTGGCAACGGCGTTAATACGTTTTTTTCAATTCTTACTTTCTCAAGTAGTTTGTGTCTTCTGGCATTTTACTTTCTTAATTGTATTACGTTCTGTTATTGATGCTCTAGAATCTCATTAAACTAATCCTTCCTTAACTCTGACATACTTTGACTAAATCAGCGAGAGTAAATATATTATAGCGAATATGATCGCCAACCCTTATCGGGTTACATTTTATGCATCAAAAACAAGTATAGCAATCCGTATAGCTGAAACACTTTAAATTTATATCCATGCTGACAGTTATTTATATAGATTCCAATAATGCCAGGTAACCACTAAATCTATTAAGCAGGTTTAAATGAATTTTAGGGTTTGAGGTAATTTTTACCGCTAAGCAGTCCCATAATTTGTATCTTTTTGCAAAGAAATTAGCTATGGGAGAAACTGAGCAAAATTCTTTTCACTACTTTTTTCAGTATTTACTTGGGAAACTAAAGTAAATATAGCTTTATAATGCAGCTCTAATAAATTTTCGAACAGCCATAAAATATGCTAGAAACTATATTTGGCCAACAATTTGTTTCTCATGATTTGTATATTATTTTTACCAAATATTAAGTAAAAAAATAAAAACTACGAAGACAGATAAGAAAGCATTAGTCATTATAATAGGTAAAATTTAGCATTTTAAATAGCGGTAAAAGTAATCTATTGCTAAAATTTCTGTTCTAATAATCAAATTGAAATGATGTACAAAAATTATGATAAATATTTAGTACAAAACTTATTTCGTTACACGACAAATTACTCATATTGACACCAGCAAGCGGCCAGTGAATCTACCGTATCTAAAGATTTATCCTGGAATATAATTAAATTAATTTATCAACATTGTTATTTAGTTTTAACAGCAATTGTTAGATTTATTTGCCATATCTGGTATGCAAGATTGCATTTTTATTATTGAACATCGATCAAATTCTTCTCCAGGCACTATTAAACATTAACAGCATTTTAAATGTACTTAATAGTGTAGATCAAAACAAGTTTACGTAAACTTTAAAACATTAACGACTCATTCGACTTTGCGTCGGCTCTCTGTGCAAAGATTTATGTCAGTTATTGTTTAATACTAGCACAATTAGCTATCCTGATGACGCAGCACCGTATATGGCTGTTGTTAGGATTGTATTCATGTACTGTTACTGTATTACGCTATGATCCGATGATGTAGGCTTGTATTGTACGCGTTACCCGTTAACGGTAGCGTGCTTGTTGATCGCCATATAAGTAAATGTTGAATAAGAAGTAAACATTCTGAAGCTAGTCAAGTACTCATCATTAAGTTGACTTGAACGTTATCTTACTTTAGCCTAGAATTTTTTAATAGCTGAGAATGAACCTTAGTCCGTAAAAATAAAAGCGTAAGAGTCAAAACCAATTGATCACAACCATCCAACTATTCATAAGACATTTATTTTATAATTAATCTGATGCCATAAACTTCGATAAATGAATTAACAAAGATTTAGAAATAAAGAAAGCATCTAATTAAATTGGAATACAACATACGGTGCTGGACTACTATTCTTATACGCGTAAATAGCTAATAATCTGCAATCCAATAATTAACAATTTTATACAATGAAAGCTTAAGAGTCAAAACCAATTGATCACAACCATCCAACTATTCATAAGACATTTTTTTTATAATTAATCTGATGCCATAAATTTCGATAAATGAATTAACAAAGATTTAGAAATAAAAAAAACATCTAATTAAATTGGAATATAACATACGGCGCTAAACTACTATTTTTATACGCGTAAATAGCTAATAATCTGCAATCTAATAATTAACAATTCTATACAATAAAAGCTTAAGAGTCAAAACCAATTGATCACAGCCATCCAACTATTCATAAGACATTTTTTATAATTAATCTGATGCCATGAACTTCGATAAATGAATTAACAAAGATTTAGAAATAAGGGAAGCATCTAACTAAATTGGAATATAAGGTTATATACGGCGCTGGAATGAATTTTATTGTAAAACTATTTAAGAAATGTATTAATTGTTTCATTATAATAATAGGGCAAATCTATATTGTGTACGCCTACAATAAACAAAATCAAATGTAATAACTCAGTCTTAGAACGATGCCAATAACCTACTGACTATATTTTGAACATTACCTCTATAATTTTGTAAATATAAATAAATTGCTATTTTATGCCAAGGCTTACTACGATTAAATTATACCTGAATTTATAAGACAGTAAGTAAAATGGGCTTACAATAACAATTCTTTTCCTTGATTTTATCTAGGAAGCTTGCAAATGTAACATCAAATAAGGATTTCCTATCTATTCTCGTACAATATAAGATAGTAATCTACATTCTTTGCTAATTCAACCATCCGTGCTAGTTATGATCATTCACTTACAGATTTATGTCAAAGAGTATCGTGTCTTATCGTAGATCTCTACAATATGTTTCATTTATTATTTACATGGTTTATGATATAGGCTCTAGTAATTTCATTTTGCAATCTCCATTCAATATTTTGTTTCATTTTAAATCTTAAATGAATTCTTTGAAAGAGAATCTGGAAACAATTTATACGAATTTTGTCCTTTTGTCAACAATAGCTCATATTATTAAATTGGGGAAATGCTTAAAATTAAAATATTTAATTTATCGCTTGCAATTATCCGTAAATAATTATGTATATTAACTCATGGAACAAAAAAACATTTCGAAATTACAGTACAAGTCTTTTCCTTTTTATATTGTAAAAGTTAGAAATGATACTGTTAGTAATCCTTCCTCAATTACTGATACCGAATGTAGTACAGGCCAAATATAGCTTAGATTACGATCCAAGATCGTACAAAAATACTGTACTGTAGGTTAAATCGTAGGTTAGAGTGTATGATTGTATTAATTTCTATTTGTAGAAGACGTTTACCGTACGTATTGTAGTAATTGCATCGAGATACTTATATTAAGATTCTGAAATAATAATAGATTGTGCTAATTATGTTAGTAGTGTGAGATATGTGTTGTGAGGCTTTATTTAGAAACACAAATAATGCATTGATAGCGCGATAGTAAATTTAGATATGAACTTGTAACTTAATTGGTAAGATATGATTTTATTAGAAGGAAAATCATTGCGTTACTAATTGTATATAAATTGTGAATATTACTATAATAATTTAGATAGTCCTTGGTAGTTATGAGACGAACCTAATCTTATGTAGTAAAACGAAGTTTGCAAGAAGCTGTAGTTCTTGTTATACTTTAGAGAAGGCACTTTATCACATACCGCATGGAGTATTACTAATTTAACATCAATTCTAGATTTAAGTAGTATATACGAGTAATATTTTAAGCGTTTTTAACAACACATACTAGCAGTTGTCTACTAATACCAAAGAGCCAATTATTGTAACACAGTGTAATCCTTGACTTATCCCTAAACAGAGCGCCTAAAATATAAAATTGATATTAGATAAACAGTACATTACAGTACAATACTTTGAAAGATTTGTCCAACAAATAGTAAATCTGGATCTGGTTACATTGTTGCGCAAAAATTCGGGATAGGACGGGACGGCTGGGCGGGTGCGGCCTCACGTAGTAGCGCTAATACTTTACCATTTCTAATGCTGGTCCTTCATCTTACAATGTCAACAACAATATCTTAAAAGAACTACTGTGATGTTTCCCATACTATTATTGCATCTTAGAATGCCAACAACTACTGTAAGCCCCACTTCTATTATACAATGTATGACGAAGTGATTTAATGTAATTTAGTATACTGTACACTGTATTGTACAGTCACTCTTTATACTATCCCTCGTCGTAATACATGCGTATTTTGAAATGCCGCAAAACATTGCCTTTTGCACGTATACCTTTCAATTTAAATTTTATAGATTTAAATTATGATAAACTGCGATTCTAGCTTACCGGTCTATACATATTGAATAAAGCATGCTAATTATTTACTCTACCATTCTTCGGAAGCTATTAACAAAAATCTAAAGTTTTGTCTTTACTGATAATTTCGTAATCTCCATTGCTAACTTTCCTCCTGATTTTTAAATGTTCAACATCTTAGTATATTGCTAACATAGTGATCATAGGTGACTAACATACGTTAATCAATTACTGATAAAAGAACAAATGCAAGAATTACAAGATCAGCTAACATCTTTTTACATTTATCACTATAAGTCATTTAAAAGAAGCAGCATTTAGAATTATAATTATGCTAACTATTTCCAAATCTCTTACAATAGCAAGCGGGTTAGGTCATTTATTTTGGTAGTAATAATAGTATCACGTAAAAAAAGTTAGTAATATTTGGTAGAGTAGCCTTATCAGAGAGACAGGGATCTTAAAATTACAAGATAGTCTATAATTTAGACGTTTTGCCTAATAGAGTATAGTTGCTTCGTATTGAATGTGTGACTATAAGTAATTTACACTAGATTGTATGTTATGAAGCGACTGATTCTCTGAATAGGCGTATTGTAATCCTTGACTTAACCCTAAACATAGCGCCCAAAATATAAAATTGATACTTGATAAACAATACGTTACAGTACAGTAATTTGAAAGATCTATCCAACAAATAGTAAATCTGGACCTGCTTACATTGTTGTGCAAAAGTTCAAACTTTAGTTATAAAAATATTAAAAACGTATGACCAAAACGTAATGGAGAGAGTGTGATAATATGGTATTGCAGAATATTTCTGTTAGGTTTGTTCGCTGATTCTGAACAGAATACGCGGACGACCTAAACTCTATCTTAAGAATGCCAACTGTCTTCTTTATTCGCCCAACCAAATTAACATAAGTAGGTCTTCTATCTATAAACTACATTTCTAAATGAAAAGACTTGAACAGTCACAATAGTACGATACACATAGAGAACCCATAAGTGTAAATCTGTAATATACTCCAGTCTGTGATCATGTAAAACAGATCTCTTTATTCTCAAGTACCCAGTTAGCTATATCCGCTATATTCAGCAATAGCAACAACTGAATTATAATTACATCGACCTAATTCCATCTACAATATTACAGTTATTATTACCAATTATAACATCCACCACAAGAAAAGATAGACTAAAACCTTTACTGTAGACTCAGAGTAAAACGTCCGCGCTTCCACTAGAATTAAAGTAAGTCACAACACCACTTTATTATATTGTCGTGCTTATAGCGTAGGATATTTTTAAGCAAGATTTATATTGACTTTCTCTACAGCTGCAGTTACGGATTCTCTTAGTATGCCTCTGCAGGTTTATTTTACTAATGGTATTTATAGCTTATTCACATGCGTCCATATAGCAGTATAATAAAAACATTTTAGTTTTAGTTTTATACTCTATTTCTACTTGTTTCATCTAAAGGCTTTTCATTTAATTTTCATCGTTACAAAGTTCGAGAATTTTTACATATTAGCAACGTGATAGTTTAGTTTGTACTTTCTAAATTCTTAACAAGTTTACAAATTACACCTTAACCCGGATCAATTCAATTATATCCATGGATTGATGGTCTTAATAGTAGTACTTAGTTATCCAACGATGTTAGCCAAACTACAGTATTGTGTGTACACTCCATAGTCATACATGATACTTTTTAACTATGCCATGGGTGCCTTTACCATTCACAAGCGTTGTGAAAGGTAGCGGAAATTATTTAAATTTTCTCAGCGATTCTGTGTACGTTATGTAGTAGGCTCACCGCACTACGCAGAATTAATGCCAGAGGTAAAGACACCGACTACACTGATTGGGATGGTAAATCATGTTGAAGAAGAAAAACATTAAAAAATCCCCTAAAAAATATCGTTACATAAGCGTGCGTCTTCGTGGAATAAATTTTTTGTATTCTAATAAGCTACATCTTTTACAAAGTTTTCTTTGCAATATTCAAAAGCGATAAACAGCATTCGCAATGAATAATTTTCAATTGATTTTACTTCACTAAATTCAATTTTTACTATCCTTTAAGTTGCAGAGCTTATATATTAAAGCAATTGATCAAATCCTCAGTTGATACAGGATATCAATGACGACTGGTTGAAATGAGTCATTAAGTAAATCATTAAGTAAATCAAGGCCATGCGAGTACTGTAGCTACATTGAATCAGGCCAAGATTTACAATCACTGTAGTGTCGTGATGTCATGGTGTACAGCAATGTTTTGAATCAGAGCTGAGTACGTAATTATACGATCTAAATTTTGAAACATTGTGGTTTCAAGGACTCCACGTTATAGTACGGTAATAGTTTAGTCGATATAGGAGAAAGAAAAACTACTCTGTTATTAAGACTGTATAGAAAAACGATATATGACATTGCCGTTCCTAAACCCCTTCATGACATGCAGTAAGTCCATTTTGAAAAGTAAAGTTTTATTTACAGTTTTCCTATTATTTTGTGATATTTTTACTTTTCGATAAAAGTTGTTGTGGTTCGTTAGTCGTTCATAAGACAAACTGAAAATCAAAACCCAGCAGTAAATTTCTGATATTATTGATTACAGCTGACTGGTATTTTGTTAATTGCTGGTAATAAAGAAAAATAAGAGAATGACAGATAGGCTAGCATCTTGTTAAATTAAATTTATCATAATAAACTTATTCAAGATGAATAGCATTCAGCAATTCAATCAAATTATCCATTTCAAAATCTTTTGCTATATCAAGCGGCGTTAAGTCTCCCATTTTGGCATAAACGTCAGCTCCGGCCGCTACTAAACTTCTTACCATAGCATCATCACCTATATTAAATCATCACAATATGATAACATAATTCATTAATTGTCTCTTCATATACGACCACATACAATGATCAGACTACCGGATTAATTATAGTTATTTTATGATTTTTAATCAGTGAGAACACATAGTTCAGTTGGTCATGTATAGATGAATAAAATAAATAGATACACTGTCAAACTACAGAGCTATTGATGAATACTCCAATAACAGCCTCACTAAGTAGCTATAATTATCGAACGGTTCCTTAATTTGAAATACTAAAGCTAGGATGATATAAGAGAAGTGCAAGTAAATAATAGTAATAGCACTACTGTCGAGTCTTCTACCGTCCCTGAAAGGATAGATAATTTCTGACTTACCATTCATAACAGCTAGATGTAATGGAGTTGCATTATTGCATTGTTCGTTAATAACATTAACCTTAGCACCTATCTTTAGTAGCCATTTGACCATAAGAGTATCGCCACGACCAATAGCTGCATGAAGAGGTGTATTGCCTGATTCACCATGATGATTAATATCAATTTTACCTGGATGCTGTACATAGTTACTTAATTAGATCCAAAATATTATTGAAAAAGTAATGAACGTTCTGTCTCAATGTTATAATTCACTATTGTCTATATACAGTACTTCAGTATAATCAAATACGTATGCAGACATTAGGAATAATCAAGAAAGACAGAAATCATTTGACTAAATTTGAATGACTTTAAGGTACCATAGATACAAGATAGTATCACCTTTTGAATTAAATACGTTAATATGGACGAGGAGTTGGCCATCACTCCGGTGAAGAATAATCTGTTATAATCTTCTGGTAATAATGATGTAATCGATAGGACTTGATCATCGAGAATGTATTGTATAACATCGAGATATTGAAGCTGAATTGCTTGACAGATAATTTCTGTGATATTAGAGACTTTATCGTGTTGAAAACGACTGTTTTCTTGCTGTAGTTTATGATAAAACTCAATAATTGCAGATGTCATATTTAGTAGAGCATGAGATCGTATAGCAAGGACAATTTGAGCACAGGTGCGGTTACTTGTTTTACACTTGACCGCTGAAAGCAACTTCTTGTAGGCTTTATGACGACCAGATGACAGAGTATACACAACATCCAAGAAAAAGAGCTGTCGATTGACAGCAAATCGAGTGCTAGAGAATAAAATCGTGAATGATAATGGTCAAATTAGTCTCATCTAATGGCTTAGCTCCTAGTATGATAAAACAAGTACTGTGTGTCTAATTTACTGCAGTTTTGAATAACATAATTAATCTATTTAATACGGATGTTAGCTTTCAGTTAACAGACTGACGATTTGAAAGAAAAATGATACATTAACAGTAAATATGATACTCTGTATCAATTTATTACTACTGTTACAGTATTTGTAAGTAATCCTAAACATTGTTTATTAATTTTCTGTATGTTTTTAACGTTGCTTTTGCATAGACTGCTGTTTATATTTACAAATCTCAAAATGGATGAAGTAGAATTGAAGCTAATGCTTGTCGAAGTGGGTAAGGTTTACTAACATTTATTTGATTTGACACTTTATAACTTGACTAAGCGTTTACTGATGCAATCTGTAAGGTTTTGTTGATATAAAAACAAAATATAGAATACTTAATGTGGACTCAATTCTAACTACATGGTTAAAATTTGGTTGTAAGCTAAATTTTAGCTAAAAATATTGCTTGTCGCAGTTTACTAGAGTTCGATTTGTCACTTATTGCTAAATTAAGTAATATAATGAATTAGCATACGAGTATATCTACTGTATGTAGTTATGCGTTTCTATCTACATACGGGAACTCGGGAATAATAGCGTAAATAAGCTGTTCTAAAGTAGACTCTTCTAGTTGTGATTGTTGGCCACCAAGAAGAATTATCAGATGATCTCGTATAATTTCCAACTCCATCTTTAAAAGGTCTAACTTTTGTTGTGATGGAAAAACGGATATCCAAAAATGACTGAACTGAGTCATATTATCACCAGTTTGCCACCATTCATGTAACCTCATCACTAATTTATTGGATTCCTTCAACCAATTCTCTGCAATAGTTTTTACAATAGTCAATAAATGATTGATAGTTTTTTTAAAGTTCAGTTCTAAATTATGGCACTACTTTAACTTATCCATTCTTTTCACTTACCAAGAATATTACTATCTACTCTAGTTATAATTGATTCGAGGTCTTCTGTTTTGATTAGAGGTTGTATAGACGGCAAAACCGCCTGTTGTTTGGCAATCGTTTGAGGTGTTTTAGAAGTTGCTTTACTATTGATCGTATGTAGTGGCCTTACTGGGCCGCTATTAGGGCGAATATCTTCTTTTTTTTTGGTAATATCACTTAGTGGTGATAATACTCTACCTGAACGTACTTTGGCGCTATTACTTTTAACCGTTCCTGATGCCCCAGGAGGTGGCGTTGGTTGTTGAAAGGGATAAGAAGAACTTCTATGGAATGGATGTTTAGCTAAAGTAACGTGCGGTACATCTTGTTGAGAAAAGTCTTCATCATCGATAGCGCTATATGATAACCGCGATACGCATAGTAAATCTCTTATTTCTTCCACTTGATCATCCATCTTGTATTTTTGAATATCGATAAGGCTAGTAACTAAAGCAGACTATAGTATAGAAGCAGCCATGTAATAGATTAGAATGAATTATATGTTTAAACCTTTATGATATATAAAAGGGCTGACATGCGTGTATCATAGTGCTACTATCATGCAAATTTTAGGCATGAATAGCATCTGTAGTAGATAATACAATGATTGATTTTTTACCCAGTTAAGGCCCATTTATTAAATATAATAAATAGTCCGTTAATACTGTAAAAATTCATTTAATGATGTATATCCTGCAATTATCACGCATTGCTGTTCGAAAGTTCAGTCCAGTGTTTATGGATGATATCAAATGATTAAGTTCAAGATACATTGGAGAATCGTTAATTATGTTATGAAAGTTGATATTGAAGCGGAGAATAATTTTATTTACGAAAAGTACATGAACTATTGTCCTTTTCTGAATAATTATACTTTATTTTGTGGGAGATTAACAAAAATATTCGTAATTTCATTACAGCATCACTTATTTGGAATCGAATAAAATTTTGAATCCTTACAGTTTCATGAAAACTGTCATGCACGCATTGTAAGTATAAGCGGATACAATTGGATAATGGGTCCAAGCGAACTAGCGAGTCCATGCGAGTAGTAGTAAACGGTTAGGAATCGCCAAGAAATATTTACGTACTACTGTAGAGTACTTAAGTAAGAGATCTTGCATGAAACGATTGATTGGCCTGCAATTCAGTACAATCTATCAGTAGCTTGGCCTGGATGTTGTAAGTTTTGTGGATTACCGATTTACATCGTTGCAACATGTTTGCATTACAGTATCCGCTCTCATCTTTCGATAATATCATTAATGTAAAGTCCCCTTAGATATCTCAGTAAATTACAGTTGCAAGTAATCAATAACAAAACGTATATCTTTTAAGGCTAAAGCCAGATGCTTCACAGGCACATCAAAGGCATCGGTTTTATGAGCCTAAAATGAATTGATCATACAGCCTCTCCCTCCGGTAACTACTGCTTTTCTAAGAATTAATAAAAAACAAAAGTAGACACCCTCTCATTTACTTGGTAGTCTCTATAATTTCTAACATGATTATTATTCATGAAGTTCAAAGCTAATTAACGCTCAGCACTATTGACCAAAGGATAGTTTGAATAACTTTAACGTCAATCAAGGAAATCTATTCAGAGATATTAACGCCAAAGGCAAAAAATTCAGCAAAGTAATACATCAAAACGTTGCTTTTATTGTGATAATAAATGATTTTCGGAACCAAAGATAAAATTAATTCATAACATAAACTTACAACACAGCTCATGTAAACAAACCTGCTAATGCCCTACCTTGCGTATGGTGTATCTTATATTACAAACAAGACTTTGGCATGAATTTTGCTACTGCAAGAAGTTACGATTACGTTTAAAGGTAATATTATTCAGGCTCTATTCGCTAGTCAAGTGTCAAGTACTGTTGTAACGTACGAGGCGTTGAAGATTTTATTACATGATTGTCCCAACTAAACAATCATGACGATTGTGTTGTTTGACGTAAGAAAACCAGAATATTACCGGTAATTTCCCTGCTAATAAATCCTAAGTACATTTCAATTATGAAGTAGTTCTGATGTTGCAGGCCGACCTTTTTTATGTCTTTAACCACATATTGGTGTGTCAAGACACTAATATTTTGGGAAGCCAGGAACTCTTGACGTTGGCATAATATTGGCTGCTGGCGGTGGAAGTCCATACGAATAGGGAGGCGCAGCATGTACGGAATTCGTGGGAACTACAATAACAGAAACGGGACAAAAATGTTCCGTTTATTGCTAATAAGCGAAATGCCAGATATCGCCTAATCAATATTTTTTTGAATAAAGATTCGAATAAATACTTACATTGAGGTTGGGCAGCTTGCGCTATCTTTGTCTTATATTTTGCAGCCCTCCGCTCCTCCTGTATCAAAGTAGATAGCTTTATGTCAGATTCATGAATTTAAAAATAATACCGATATACGAGTAATCCTATGCATAACTGATTGACAGTAATAAATCGATAATGTCATCGTCATTAAATAATGTACTGTAGTATGGTTAAAGGCAATATAGTAAAGTATGGGAAGTTACATCAAAGTTAAATGCATAGCAAAACGGCACATTAATATAATATAATTGACAAGAACTTGGGAGTTGTAGCTGAAAAAATTAAAGCGATACTGAATACTGAAAGATAGCCAATTTCAGACAAACTCAATTGGTTCAACTATTCTACTATTCTAACAACAATCGTGGAATAAGCAGCACACTAATCTGTCACATCAACCGCAAACCTCTTCTGTGTTACAAGCCTATATATTGACGGCAATACTCCTTGATATCAACGCTGTTAATGATACGCAATTCCAATAAATTCGGACTAAATTAGCAACGTAAAATAGATATTACCAATACTCACGAAAAGTGTGTCAATGTGCCACCGTAATTCGTTGAAATAAACACATAGTAACTGTAACACATGTTGATTTCTGAATCATACCTTAAATGACTGTTACTATCAGTACCAACGAGCGGTACGGTTAATATTAATAAATGTAACATGGAATGAGAGTTTACAGTAACAGCAATTAGAAATGCTATTATGTTAAATAGCATTCACTTTGCAGTTTTATAATATTCTCTTCGTACCTTAAACCGGTTTCATCTCTGAAGATTCAGTCAAATAAACTCTTAATAATGACGACAAAGAATAACGTAACCCCAGCCCAATAGCACAGTTTTGTAACTGACAAGTCAAGCTCAATCGTAGTAATACTTGACTGCTACATGTGATTAATGTACATGTGCTAGTACTAATAAAGAGCACCAAGGCTATTTCTTACCAATGATATATCCTCTTCCGGATGGACTAACTTGCTAGTAGCTCCAACACTACTGATAGTTGTAGATATCTTGGGCGTTGTTATTGGAGTGGTCTCAGCTGGAGGTGGTACACTGCCTACAAGCGATAGATTCAAATTACAACGGAAAAAAGTGGTGTTAATATGACACAAGATGCCAGTCTGTCGAACGAAATTTACAATTTCTATCCAAAAGATTTAGCTTGTTCAAGGCACCTTTACTATCGTTCAGAACCGGTTTGGCTTCAAAAGTTTTCGAATTCGAGATAGGCTTGAAATCTGCACCTACAGGGCCGGAACTAATTGTTGTAGAGCTACTAACTTGTGAGGCACTTGGAAATAGCGGTCGACTTGGTGGGGCAGAATTATTAGCGGCCGATACCGGAGGCGCTCTAATCGGCGGAGGCATATTGGTATTCGGTGGGGGCATGTTCGGAAATGGAAATCTATTCAATTGTATTACAGCGATTTTGGTATTTAATAATTTTTGAATTAACGTTTACTTGTTCATATAATGTAAAAGGAGTATATTGACAGTGGCTTTAACGGAAGATTAAGCCTATTACTGTCTACGTATTACCTAGCTTGCATTGGTGGTACACCAAATGGCACGGGTGGCATCGGCATACCGGTAGGTAGTCGGTCTGGTTTAGAAAAAGTAATGTTTGCACATTGTTTTAATGATGATAGCATATCTAAATCGAGGGTAAAGGGTTAGTACAAGCATAATTATAACTGGAGTAACAAACTTGGTTGAGGGTAGCCAGGCACTCCTGGACGCCAAAAACCGGGAGCGACCGGAGGAACAGCCGACGGCGCAAAAGCTGCTTGAGGAGTCGGTTGTTCGTCTGATTTTGCTTTTTTCGTCTCGGGTTCTAATTGGATGAAAATAGTTTAAACCTCGTTATCATATTATACGAAGTAAATCTTTGCAACATCATCATCATTCATTGTCAATATCGATTACATTATATGTATAGAAAAGAATACGACTTTAAAATGATAACAAAAACCTGGCAAAGAATGAGTTATTGATGACAAGATACAAATCATTGCAGTCAAATGCTTACATAGTATAGCCAAATAGCCATTGTTAGCTAGTTTGATAATATATTATTAAAATTTCGTCAAATGATTCGATCGTCATCTACTGTAGTTTATCAAACTTTCGTTCTGTTGATGAAATACGTTATCGATAGTATTGCTTGATAGATAATGCGAATACTAGATGAAAATGACAATTCTGTTTCCACGATGCAGCTTGAGTGGAACTGTTTGAAAATGATTTTGCCTTGCGTCATAAATATAATTTATGATCCGTTTGCCTAGTGGTAGACTATGCGAAGGGCGTTTTTGTACGTTATAGTATCATGCTAGATTTCTAAAGTGAGATAAGGGATGTTGGTGATACCGACTACTATATTGTATTAAAATGTTAAAATAAGATGTAATCCTTGGTATCAATGTGCTAGAACAATTCAAGGGCAGTTAGTTACCTAGTTACAATAATGCTCAAAACGCTATACAAGTTAATAATGTCTACTTTAACTTTGTCAGACATTACTTTTAGATGATCAACACAGATAGTACAGTGAAAGGCTGTCATTTAGGTAATTAAAGAATTACTATAGGGATTGTTGACTCACTACAGAGATAGAAAGGTTTTGTTCTGCATCTACTGTATATATATAAGAGCGAAGGATCAACTAGGTAATTCATTAAGATTAAATTTTACCATCAACATCTCCTTTACGAGCCGCTCTTGCTTTAGCATCTTCTTCTGGTATCCCTTCAGTCCCATATATTTCAACTTCTGGATTGGTTCGGTTGGGTAAAGCATTGGGTATTTCTTTAATTGTTTCACGATGAACTTGCATACAATGTATAGCAAGGCCAGGACCGGTATATAGTTTTTTATGGCATACAGGGCATTTAAAATGTTTAGCTCGTTGATGCTGTATTAATATCTTTTCATCTTCAAAATCTCTACCACAGTACCTGGATGATATTATACATTCATGAATCAAGGAAGATACAAATCGACAATAGTCTAACGCAATCATCATTGATGTATGAAAGCATCATGGAATGTTTGTTACGTTATTTTTTGTGAATGATTTAGAACATATCAAGCACAGTATGATCATATGTGTGATTGTAACTTCAAAGTGCTATCGTTCTTTCATCAGGAAAAATCGATCACAACGAGACATAAGAAATTTCTATCAAAACTAAAAAAGATTCCCGTTAAATAAATGCCTTAATCAAGCTTTAGGTAGTGTAGATCAAGTTTGGCTTGTTGACGACCGACAGTGGACAACATCGAAGAACGTTGTCACTACGTCCAGTACAGTACAGTACGAGCGCGCGGGAATAACCGAGGCAAAACTACAGTAGTTTGATTGATCTCAATCACTCCTGTCTATTGTAATTCTTGGATGTGCGCTCCAAATTGTAGTATTGATGTGCTTTCAATATGCTCTTTTTGCGGACTAGGCAAACTATTGACGTCCTAGTAAAACTGCTCAAAGCCAAGTAGCCTAACAAAAAAGGTCCATTGCAATGGGTATTACTTGGTGTCGCCATTGCAAGCAAGTATTGTACAGTGACAGCAGTACTGCTCTGATCTTCAAGACAAGATGATTAATCAATCCTTTGAAGTTCAGCAATGGACGCTTAGTAAAAGAGCCATGCGGGCAAAGAAATAAATAAATTGAATTCATTGTGGTGTAACAAGAAACTGTACAGACTTTTAGACTAGCCTGAATGAATTAATATCATGTTATGCATGGCAATATTAGAAAGGATACCAACACCAAGGCTTGACAGACTTCTTTTTCTTCCTTCCCATCGTTGCGATACTTGCCTAAAAAAGCTCAAATAAACTGTACGATGATGCTGCCAAGCAAGTAGTTAAATACTCTTACTCTACGTGCTGAATGTGATCGTATTTCCTATACTGGGCCTATGTGTACAGTACATACAGCATTGTACAGTGTATATACTGTAAGAAATGTACTGTACACTGTAGACAGTACAGTACATGATACAGTCGGATACAGTACAATATACTGTATACCAGTGCACTGTACTGTAGTCTGGGGTGCAGTTCAGTTCTCAGAGCGTAGTGTATCGAGTCATTCGAGTGTCGAGTATGCGACTATCGACTGTGATAAAAGAGTTCTTCAGCGCACGCCCAGTCGAGCACCAATGCATGGAAGACAGTGTACACCAGTCGTGTTTTGCATCAGGTGATTGGGCAAGTCCATAATGGCATTGGCCGTCGTGTTTACTGTTGGCCACACAACATTTGCAACATTTGCATTTTACGATCTGCTGGACGCTTTCCTCTGTCCAGCAGTTTTAGCATACCTGATGACAACCTCCGCATAACTCATGCAATAAGTTCATGCTTTACTGTAACCGCCATGCTGTAAGCATGCCAACATGGACATTAAAAGAATGGCAAGCTCTTTACGTTGCATTTTCCGTTAACATCAATTTCAGTCTTATTCATGTGACAGCGTTAGTTTTATTCGCGATTCAACACATCAACGATTCTTTAGTACGTAGAAGAACATGTCTAGTATTTGTATATGATTACACAGTTACATTACATGAAAACTAACATATCCACTTACTGTATAAGACGGTATATCGAGTTTGCTTAAAATTGTCAATCAACCATATAATGTTGTTTACAAAACGGATTGAAGAAAAGATAAAAAGATAAGATTGAACTGACGTCATCTTGGCCTACAACTCAATTTCTCAATTCTAAATTAATTTTACGCTAACTGCTTGAAGCAAAAGGTAGCAAAAAGCAATAGCATACTACTGTTATACAGTCATCATAGCGTGCACAATTGATTCGTACAATATTCAGTTGGCTTTTCCTTTGACAATGAGGGGTCCTACATTATCTTGCTCTTGTTCATTGTGATTATTATGACTTCCATCACAGTAAGGAAACTAGGATACGAGAACATAAATAGCAAATGCATGAATAATTAACAATTTTGCAATGAATAACCTATACCGTTAAAAGTACATACTGTACAGTATATACAGATTACTGCAAATTAATTACCAGCTGTAAGTGAACTTTCTTAAAGCTTAGGGATAGCAAGAACAATGTTATTGTTGACACCTTGCCATCAAGGAATGTCATCAGAACTAATCACTCAAATAAATATCTATAATATTGCATGCTTGATGTACTGTATTTATAATTAATCAATGGAAGTGATCTAACGGTTTGCCAATGCTGTTTGTATATTTGTGCTCCATAAACTGTCATCGAAATGCACGTTCAATCGAACCTGTTGACAGCTGCAGTACAGTACTGTATCGTTTTGCTAATATTATAACATGGTCAGATCACTATTTACTGTACGATCAGAAACACTTTGATCAAGCAACGCAAGATTAAACGTCGAATGCCAAACCAATCCAATAGCATTTTGATCGTTGTCAAGACTAATCTAATCTATCTGTAGTGCCATCACGACTAGGCACATAGGAAGTACAGTACACTATGGTTCTGTAGGTGGATAGAAATGATGTAGTTGTCCATACTACGGCTACTGAGCATGAAGAGATAAATATAAAAAAATTGTTTTACGGACTATTACCAACGAAAGAGTTGTGTTAGCAGAATCGAGCTAGCATTGATTCATTATAGTTCAGTTTCAACAAACTGGTTCATAGTAAAGTCTGCAGCTATGATGGTCATGCCGAATGAGTCATTTTCCATGTTTCAATATCGGAAAAGCAAGAAATGAACCGATTTTGCATTGAACGAATTGACATACTTGCTGGCAAGCTACACCCTTTGACAGAAGTAGCACATGACACGGCACTATCTATCTCACCTTTTTCGATCTCCAACATCTGCAAAATACTAACTTCTCTCCGACATCCTCGATATCTACAGTATGGACCACTTTCTTGCAGGTTTTATCGATGCATTTGTTGACACAGTTCGTGTCTTTAGCCTTAGGTGAAGGAGGTAACTCAACAGCTTTGGGCTGAAAAAACTTATATGTACTATAACCAATCAGCCAGCTCACCACCGCAAAAGGGAAAACGACAGCGATAGCATCACTTGGACTTAGTTCTGCGAATCCACTTAAACTAGAAGGAACTGGAAGTTTTTGCAGATAGTTAGGCAGTTGAACTTTAATTAATTTGGCTATTGCTTCCATTTTTCTCAATTTCACTGTGCTCCGTTGAGAGAAAATAACCTCTACGCTTTCGTGTCTCCTTGCTGCCTTGGTTCAGCACTTGCGGACTAATTGCGCAGTTTCCACACTGTCAGTCGATATAATATAATTATAATTAATTAAAATAATAATAATTATTATACTGTATATGATCAGGGAACAATCACAACAATATCGACGGACGGACGTCGGATGAAGTCATACTGTACTGTGCCGTACGGTGGTCGTGGTTTTAGTGGTATGACTGCAGTGTACAATTGTACTGAACCTCATGCCTCGTTACTGTACTGTACCGTACCGTACCATACCATACCGTACCATCAGTGTGACGTGAACTTTTGTGAAGCTGCGGTAGTTGACGAGTCCCAGACGATACCGTACCGCTGTAAGTCTGTCCGTCAGCAAGCAAGGAACATTGCTGTCAGTCTGTATGTCTGCACTACAACACTACAATGTACTGTACACTGCACAGCATCCATAGTGTATAGTATTACTGTGCAGATTTAGGTGACCCATTCCAATTCATATTGAATCTTCTCGTCTGCCTTCAAGTCAGGTTCGGTTGGCTTGGACGTCTTTGGTCGTTGCTGCTTGTCTTGCTTTTACCTTTGCATCGACTGATCTACTTGTGAAGGAACGCCAAAATGTCGCTAGCTGATGAATTACTAGCTGATTTCGAAGACGCTGAAACCGAAGATGTAAATGATATTGTCGATGAAGACCAGTTGGAGGCAGAAAATGAGCGAAACGGTGACGATGTCATGGAAGTAGCCGATGGTGGAGGAGATGCAATAAACAACTCCGTTCGGGCAGTTGCCAAGCTACGCGATAGCAAGAATGTAGGAGACAGTACTATTAAGCTTCTTGCTTAATTACTATCATCATTGACGTTAGCAGTTAGCGATGATATGAATTATGATGATCAAATGGATCAATGGATCTGTTGATTTGATATTTGCGACGTTAATGAGATTGAAAAATGGCTAACTTTGATCAACTTCTGCTATTAATCTATACTGAACAGACGTATTCATTTATTCATTCTTTACAGCTGAATGATATCGTTAAAGATATTGATTATTACATCGAAAATCCAAGAGCGGAACAAGGTACAACATTGCAGACTCTTACAATGCATCTCAACACTCTTATTTTATAGGTGCTAAACTATCAAGTTAATTGTAGCCAAAAAATTGAATGTAAAATACTATCACAGTCGATTCTCCACATTAGAAAGTTGCATTCATCTTTTTGTCTCTCTCTCCATATACGTTAATGTACGTGTCGTATATGCTTCGCTACAAAAATAATCAGTATGCAAGCTAAGAAAACGTTCCAATATCATTCATGGAATAGATTAAATTTGAGTCATGATAGAGTGTAATATTCCTGATAATACGTAGATCGTCACGTTGTCAGGAATTGAAACCAGTACCGATGTAACTACTATGCAATTGATTTCATCAATGAAACTTTACTTCTTTGTGTTATTGTAGTGCTTGGACCCGTGGAAGTAGACCCTGAATATTTATTAATCGTCAACGGCAATAATATGGCGGTAGAGATTGACAACGAAATTAGTAAGTGTTATGCAACTTATTGCGCACATGCCTACCTTATTGTGGACTGTAATTTACTAGTCTAACAGAAATGGCAGTTTTGATATAGTGCTATATACCATCAGAGATCAGTTTTGATTTGTTGAAATTTTATAAAATGTAAATGTAATTGTGTTGATATTAGTAGAAAAATTTTTTGAATCATGTGCTATTTAATGAATGAAGGTATTATACACAAGTATGTTCGTGATACCTACACTAAAAGATTCCCGGAACTAGAATCACTGATTGAATTTCCATTCGATTATATACGTACTGTGCAAAGATTGGGCAATGAATTGAATGTCCCTCAGGTAGATCTGCTAGATGACTTAAATATATGCTATCTGCACAAGATGCTGTCTTATAATTTGAAATCACAATTGTAATTGAAATAAAAGAGTATGAAGTGAATAGCATGTAATGTTCTATGCTAGCATGACCATTGGGTGTACAATGCAATACTTGTAGAGACTAATGCCATTGACGACATGATTAATAGTAGCATGGCCAATAATTTTAACCGATTGAAAAAATAAATCTGAACCATAAGAGTATATAGCTATAGAATGGTTCCATACCACCTCAATATACTTTTTCTCACCCCATTTTAGACTGATCTGAGTGACATTCTTATCCCAGCAAATGTCATGGTAGTCAGTGTTACAGCTTCGACAACGCAAGGTACCAAGTTAGATGATGACGAACTGGAACGAGTTTTAGAAGCTTGTAAAGTTGCTATTGAATTAATGGATATAAAAATCAAAATTTTCCAATATGTTGAGTCTCGGATGTCTTTTATTGCTCCTAACCTTTCTGTTATTGCTGGAGCCTCTGTTGCTGCAAAGATAATGGGTAATTTGCACACTCGATAGCAGAAAATTTATACGATTCAACCGTTATTTTAAGTAAATCACCTAAAATTGTTATTGTGATTAGGTACGGCTGGTGGTCTAACTGCACTATCAAAGATGCCTGCTTGCAATATCATGGTATGCGGTATTGGATTATTGAAGCCCATATTGAATGCATTGATCTACTGAATCTTCTCTGCCTGCAATATTCGCCGATAAGATCAATATCAATGCCATAGCAAATGACAATTCGCTATTGGTATTTCCATCTGAATTATATGATGGATTTTGAGGCGAATTGATGAATAGTCACTGCACTATGCTTTATTATACTTGTATTAGTTAATGGATGATCAAGAAAGAGACAAAACTCGTTCACTCTACTGTATATTTCTTATTGATGACAGGTTTTAGGATCGGTCAAGAAATCATTGTCTGGCTTTTCAACCTCTTCTATCATGCCACATACTGGAAATCTCTATTACAGTGATATAGTGCAAAATTCTCCACCGGTAGGTAGACGGTAGACACAACTTTAATCGATGTTACCTATTTACTTCAATATTAACTGAAAAGTATGGAAGCAGACTACATTGCAGATTGTCATTACAGGATCTCAGAAAGAAAGCAGCTCGGTTGGTGGCTGCAAAGTGCGCTCTAGCAGCACGTGTAGATAGCTTTCATGAAGCAGTCGATGGTAGCATAGGACAAAGTATTTATATATAACGAAGCCTTAAATTAGAATAGCAGTCCTGATACAATATTCTAAACGGTCGTTGATATACTATAGATTTACGAGATGATATTGAAAAGAAACTTGACAAATTGCAAGAACCGCCGCCATTGAAAAAAATTAAACCACTTATCGTTCCTGGTGAATATCGGAAAAAGAAACGAGGTGGTCGTCGCGTTCGAAAATTAAAGGAAAAAGCGGCTGTGACAGAACTAAGGAAACAAGCTAATCGAATGACGTTTGGTCAGGTTAGATTTTGAATAAAGTAGTGGGTAAAATTAAAACAAGAGTGGTCATGGCTGTGCTATGCTTATACGAAAAGACAATGCGTAATTGGAGGTTACAAATTATTTTCCTGATTAGATCGAAGAAGATGCCTATCAAGGAGATTTGGGCTTTTCTCTTGGTCAGTTAGGGCAGTCTACAAGTGGAAAAGTGCGTGGAGCACCTGTAGATAAGAAAACCCAGGTATCTGTATCCAAAAAATTACAAAAGACACTACAACAGGATAACCAAACGTATGGTGGCAGGTCGTCAGTTCGTGGTGCTACTTCAGGTACAGCTTCCAGTGTTGCTTTTACACCATTGCAAGGTCTAGAAATTGTTAATCCATTGGCTGCTGAAAAGAAGGCGCAAGAAGCCAATGCCAAGTACTTTTCAGCAAATACCGGATTCCGATTCGTTAAGAAGTAGATAAGGATTACTGACTAGATATATATTCTATTTCAAAACTCACGTACTGGTCAGTCCGCGATGACATTGTTTTGCATAGTTAGAGTTTATGTGCTGATAGCAACTTCTGTTAATCTACTTGATATTATAAATATATATAGCATATATATCTGTTAAATTTGAAATGTTATCATCCTTTTCTTGTATTCGACTTTTGTCTTGTCATTATCTTCATGAAATATGGCATGGCTAAACTGTACAGTAACTACGATGATTCCAGCACTGGCTCTATTTTTACCGTGCCGTACTGAATAAATTGGTCACGTTTTATTTTGTCTGTTGTTATCCATGTATACGCGTATACCTTTGTAGATACTAGAGTCTATTACATAACCATGATTGTATGTCTACGACTTCGAATATATTTTCAGATACTTTTTGCTTTCTAAACTAATCTTACTAGTGCTTTGAAAGTATTAAGGCAATGACTTTAATACTGTTTCAATTCGATTTAAGAATGGAAAGAGCTCCAAGTGAAGAATTTACTAACAATAACTGGTGAATTCGGTTTATATTTAGCAAGGACATGCATCCTAGTCAGTATGCTTCAACGTTATGCTGTATTAGTATGGAATATGTACGTACATCATAACTTATTCTCCTCCTTTTTTAAGTCTTTAAAATGCAGCAATAAATATTTGAGCTGCTACTTTTGCATCTAGCTGACATCGACAACTTGATCGAGTTTCTAGTGACTACTTGCAGCATTATTGTATTTTTGAACAAGCTTGTGTAGAGTAGTTTATCCGTCAGAAAATCATATCTATAAACAAATTTCATTACCAAGGATTTACGGTACTATTTCATTTCAGTACAGCATATTGAAATACGGTAGCGCAAGCTATACTGTATGTCATATCATTTTTGTACACTGGAGTAGAATGTCCCGCTTCGCAGGTAGCACCTTGTGGAAATGTAGTGTTCTTGTAGCCATTGAATTATATGTATGCTACTGCACTCTACTCTATTCAACATAACGGCACATGTACAGTCACAGTAACCTTACATATCATCATGCAACTTGATTTTATTCAGTTGCTGAAACAGAACAGTCATGATTTTTAGGTAAACCTGTCACTCATATGCTCGCATTATTCTGAGGATAACACCAATCGAAATGATAATTACTCATATACGCATATACGAACAGTATACGCCTATCGAATAGCTAGCTACCTTCTATGTTTAATTTAATAAATAAATTCAATTATACAGTATACAGTACATTAATGTTATATAAGTTTTACCGTAAAAATCTACAGATTACCTACTGTACTGTGCAATGTGTTACGTTCTATACAGTGCCTGTGCAACGCGATCGACAGTATAGTAAAAATACATGTAGATACCGTACTGTGCTATGTTTGAAGCCGGCAACAAGAAGAATGATACTCAAAACATTTAGCCGTGAAAGCGAAAGCAATAGTTTATTAGCTGTAAGTCATTTGAAATCGGAACAGCAATGTATAACATAAGATATAATAAAGCTACAATCGGTTACTTTAACACACCAGTATAGGGTTACTTGCTGTAAATAAGTAGCAACAAGTCCGACATCAACAAATTTGGTTAAATTTATTTTACTTTTCAGTTAATAACGGAAGATTAGATTAATAACAATTGTGGCAAGACCGAGTCGTCCTGTACATAAATTTACATATGGCTATCATTACGCTATACGAGTATGAGTTTATGATAAAATTTTAAAAACGAGCAAGATAGATAGTACTTTTTGTGCTGGATAAGTCGACAGTAGCACAGCTCTGTACTGTACTTATACCTAAACCTAGTAGATCACATTCTATGTGCCTATAACAATTGTTTTTATGGTAAAGCAGTAATCCGTCTTCTCAATATTGAAGATCATGGAACTGTAATGAAGTATTGAGAAAATTGTTGCAGATATATCTGCATAGAGTAATCTAGTTCAATTTTAATTTATTGCATTTCAACTCAAGTTAAATAATTAATTAATAGTACAATTCTACAAAGGTGAAATTTATTATAATTTCTCGATTGTATGATAAAGTAAAGTTTTAATTATAGACTGTACAGTACAGAAAGTACAAGAAAAAGGCAGTTAAGTCTAGCTAAAGACAGACAACCGGTCGTGATTATTTATTAATTACTAATAACAGACGGGACGGCGTTTACTATATAGCGTTAGCGGTCCATAGTGGAGGCATTCTTTTCGCGATTTTGTTTAATTTCACGAAGGAGGGACGCAAGGAAATGGATTTCGTTTTTCGTGGCTTCGATCTTTTGTTGAAGCTTCATGTTTTCTGTTTCTAATTCCTTCTCAATAGTAGATAGGCTAGATACTTCTTCTTTCTTCTTTAGTCTGTATTTCAAAGCGGCATTGTTGTTTTGCTGTCGTTTACGCTGTTGTTTGGCTGATGCCGGTAAATTATTCAGTCGTTTGCGTCTCGCATTTTTTTTGATTTTTGCTTGGACTTTTGATATTTTCAATGTAGATGATTCTGGTTTTATTTCAGCACCTTCGTTGCGCGCATCAACAGGATATGGCGAAGAATCGAACGATGGATGCATAGGGCTGCAAGCAGTCGATGCAAAAGGGCTTGAAGCATTGGATGTAAAAGGGCTTGAAGCATTGGATGTAAAAGGACTTGAAGCATTGGATGTCAAAGGACTTGACTCTGTCGATTCAAAAGGGCTGGAAACAGATGATGAAAATTCAGAGGTGAATTCACCGTCTGTGGCATTTAAAAGATCTTGTTCAACATTGGCGTAAGTATTGTCGATGACATCGTAAGTAGCAATTAAATCTGGGATAGTATCATCGATCCATGAAGAAGAAGTAGTGTTGGTTGTTGTGTTGGTATCATTATAAGCTAAATAAAAGGGTAGAAACAAAATGGGAGCATTAGACCTTCAATCATGACTTTTCTATTCCTCAAGAAGTTTTTATTCAATCGTGAATCATTTTTTAATTTAACAACATTTTCAGTACGCTTATCTGTTGTTTTTTTATTCATTTTACCTTCTTGATCGAAAACGTGTTGCGATGCCGATAAGCCAAAGAGTTTATTAAGTTGAGTTTCACCTAGAGCATTGATATCAAAACGTCCATCATTTTCGCCTCCCTTTTCAGCTAAGGAAGCAATGACCGGTTGGTTAAAAGTGTTTGACCAAGCGTTTTCGTTGCTAAAATCGTCTAGCAAATCGTTATCAAAAGGGAAATCAAGAAGGTCAGCCCCGGATGAGACTATAGAAGGGTCCATATTCAGGTCGTATGATGCCATGATATAATAAGTGTGGGTAATTTGAAGTCGCAGGAGAAGTTGAATGGTAAAAGTGAGCAAAACTAAATAAGAAAGACAAACGAAAAAAAAAATTAGACACGTTACCAATCAATTACTCAGCCTTTGGTGCGTCATTGAAAAAAAAGTCTACGACCGAATTGGCCATTTTCTTCACAGAAAAAAGACAACATAATGCTAGAAAGCAGTCATGACATGAGTTACTTACGCCATGCTGGCTAGGTTAAGCAAGTAGAGTGGAAAAAAAACGGAGAAAATAGCTGTAAAAAAGCTAAAAAGCTTCTAGTCACGTCGAGTTGCCATGCTGTTAGGGTTACAAACTTGACAAATGGATACGCTCAAAAGAAATAGAATGACGTCGTGGCCAATGTTGCAGCCTGTATATACCGTAGGCCAGGGAGAAGAAGGGGTTTGACCGCGTTGAGTCCATGATGGTTTCTTGCCAGTACTTGGTACTGTATGTATACAAATGGAATAAACTGCAATAGTTACAGTGTACAGTACGAAGACGGTCGGTTGTTTCGCTTCAGTCGCTTCGACGACGGCTAAAAATAATAGAGGTCGTCGAGCAGGATTAACCGGATCTTGAAGAAAGGCATTGACTTGGTTAAGCATGATGCAACAAACGTATGCGCAGACTCCGTCCTTTATTCTGTTCCGTTTATTGACCTATTTTCCTCTATAGTCGACAATGAGGTCCAATGGAGGTATGGTACCGACATTGGTACCGAGCGAGATTTGTCAAGGCAGCGGCGTTGAAAGAATGACTTTACTGTACAGAGTACAGTCAGTAAAAAAAGATGACCAAAGAAAAGAATTGTAAAAGAATGAAATTTCAAAATATCCAAAGTAAAGTAGACTGTATCCTGTACTATTCTATTGGGATTAGAATAGTATTTGGTCATCTTTTCTCAACCATGGGTCTTTCTCATTTCCATGACGTCACTGTCACAGGCAAAGTACATAGTACAGTACAGTACCGTACGATGCAAATAGGCGGCTGAAGTGCAGAATCGACTGACGTAGCCTGACTGAATGGAGACGACGGTACAAAGTCCACTCAAACGCCCAAGTGTTCTCAAATTCCTCAATCAAATGGCGTCGTTCAAAGCATGAAATATTTTCACTAAGAGTCCTAGAATTCCTCAATGAAATGGCGTTGTACAAAGCATGAAAGCAACATTCCTTGCGATTTGTCCAACAAATTGCAAGCTTGAAATGGCTTGCAATACTTTGTACGATATTTTCACTAAGAGTCCTAGAATTCGTCAATGAAATGGCGTTGTACGAAGCATGAAAACAACATTCCTTGCGATTTGTCCAACAAATTGCAAGATTGAAATGGCTTGCATTGCTTTGTACGACATTTTCACTAAGAGTCCTAGAATTCCTCAATGAAATGGCGTCGTACAAAGCAGGAAAACAACATTCTTTCCAATTTGTTACAATTTTATCCAACAAATTGCAAGCTTGAAATGGCTTGCATTGCTTTGTACGATATTTTCACTAAGAGTCCTAGAATTCCTCAATGAAATGGCGTTGTACAAAGCATGAAAACAACATGCTTTGCAATTTGTTGGACAAATTGCAAGATTGAAATGGCTTGCATTGCTATGTGCGACATTTTCACCTTAAAAGCAACATTGTACAGTATGTTGAAAACCAGTGTACTTGGACGATTAGGCACGACTGGAGTTGATGATGGTGTCGTAGTACTGGACAGTTACAGACTGCAACACCGTACAGTACATACTCTACTCTACCATGACAGCTAAATTAGTATTTTACATCAAAAGCTGAAAAGCTTTTATTCTAAAGTGCCATGAGGTGTTGTGTTGAAAGCGAAAACCCCACTACCAAGTACACCTGTCATGTCTATTAAATGTAATTACAGTTCATTAAAGGTTCCGTTTCAATGTCTTGTCGACATTGAAATTCATTGTGAATTTGGTAGACTGTGAATAATGATCAAAATGATGATTATTATTCTAATTTTTATTATTATGTCCTTGAAATGATCCTACTTCTACGTGGATTCCTATTCTTGGGCTGGTAGACTTGGCAAATAGAAATGGTGTTTTGAGAACAGCAGCTCCATTGAAGCCTTGAAACAGTACAAACAGTACGATAGAATGCATTGCAATGCCAGTACCGTGTTGTAATGATTCAACTGTAGCATCTTTTCATCATGATTCAATATTGATTTAGAGATGCCTTTCATGCATAAAATAGTTTCTAGCCCTTTTCGATAATGGCATGTTTGCAATGACTGTAATGGCTTGCAAAACATGATTGGACGTTGTAGGCACATGTCAGTTTGTTGCATTTGTAGAATAGAGTATAATTGTAAAATGTACATATTACAGTACTACGCATATTACCCATGCACACTTATTTGCACAGCACTGTTGGAATGGAATAAATCAAATCAATCAATCAAACTTGATCTCTAGTCATGTATTTAGTGTTGGATTACGAGTTTACTAAGTGCGCTAGTCCATGGTGTTGTATTATTCATTCTGTATCTACGCGTATCTACGTCCATTTATATCGTTGCGACTCGCGGATAAGCTCGAGAACTCGCTGATAGCAGTCTACTCAATTTGATATACACAGGATGTAGAGTACAGCATATTGTATGGGAGTATGCAAATAGAAAAGCGTAGAACCTGATGGCTACCTTTAGCGACGGCCATCACTATGCCTTTAAACCGGTAATATTGAACTTATTTTACAGTAGTGTATTGCCCAATGTCAATCATTTCGCAATACGGTGTCTATTCGATTCGATCTGCGTGTCTCTAGCCTCTAGGTATACCAGTATATTATATACTGTGCTGTATGTCTTTTACAATCTCTCTTTGACAGCGCAATTATAAGGGAGACCGTTAGCAACGCAGCGGGGTTATTAAATGGCCTATTCCCAGTAGGCTGTCTCATTATACTAGAAGGCAGAGCATGCCAGGCTTCTTGATCAATCCGTAGACATTGAATATCCAAGTTATTCAACTTCTTCTTTCCTTTCTACTATACTTCCAGCGAGGTATGGTATGTATTGCTCGATACCAATGAAGGCACAGCATGCCAGGCTTCTTGATCAATCCGTAGACATTGAATATCCAAGTTATTCAACTTCTTCTTTCCTTTCTACTATACTTCCAGCGAGGTATGGTATGTATTGCTCGATACCAATGAAGGCACAGCATGCCAGGCTTCTTGATCAATCCGTAGACATTGAATATCCAAGTTATTCAACTTCTTCTTTCCTTTCTACTATACTTCCAGCGAGGTATGGTATGTATTGCTCGATACCAATGAAGGCACAGCATGCCAGGCTTCTTGATCAATCCGTAGACATTGAATATCCAAGTTATTCAATCTCATCTTTCCTTTCTACTATACTTCCAGCGAGGTATGGTATGTATTGCTCGATACCAATCCATGGTATCTTTTTTATGCGGTGGTCGACTTTCAAGATTGAACGCGAAGGCCTTTCCCCCTGTGCCGTATAATATTATCAAGTTACTACATGCTCTAGTGTGCATCCTGCTGGTTCATGCATGCTTTGTTAGATGTTGCCGGATGCTACTAGATGATATCTTAATGAGGCTGGAGACATTCTATACGTATAACAGCACTGTTCTATGGCTGCATGTTGTACTCCTAGCCTGTTGTCATATCCTCGTATTGCTACTAAACTTTCCATACGCCTATTTAGAGTAGTTAGTGCTTATTTCTCCTGGGTCCTACAGTACTATCATGTGAGGTAAATATCTTTTTGCACATAACTTTATGTTCTATAGTGTAAAAAGACACAGTAAACTTGCACTTTTCTCGTGTTACACGCTACGCCTTGTCTTCAAGGAGCTACCTCGTGTAATTTCCATGCAGTAGAGTAAACTACAGTCAATCATACAACATCGTAGGCAGAAATGGAAGCACAATCAGGGTGCATGACTAATAAGCAGAATACAGTTATTGCGTTGATAATGTCTTGCTGACTGACACAAAAAGACCATGTAATAAAGCTGGATGAAATGGGATTTACTGTCAGTAAGATGACTGACAAACAGAACAACAGTAGGCCGCATTGACAGTAACAACGACCGAAACTTGCTGAAAGCATAACACAGACGTGTAATTCATGTGGAAAGCGTGTATTAAATTATTTCCAACTAAAACGTTCAACAAAACCAAACCTGACAATATTGACAAGAGAGTCAAAAATTCTCTTGATAAAACACTGTATGCTAATGTATTTATCGTATTAACACAATTTCGACAACAATTGAAAGCCTATCCTTACTTTTGGAATTTATAATAAATACAAGGTTGAAAATTTGATTGTTTCCTACTACAATATCTGAGCTGTTAGATTACACACTAGTAAAAGACGTTGACAAATTTGAAATTACAATTGTTATTAATAGGGTGTAATATTATCAAATTGAACATAAAGAATAATCAATTCCTACCAAACCATATAGGTTGTATCTTTTGTTATTGGTACTGTCTATTAATTTTGCTTTGAACTAGTGGCGTTGATATTGACTTAAAGCAATTTCTACCTTTTGTATCTCAGTTCTGAGGTGATGTTGTAAATTTCGTAATTGATTAATTGATAAAATTTTTAGATCTTCAATATTCAAATTAATACTCATGGTACTATTTTCATCGATATTTCTACCGCCAGCGTTAGACTGAATTATCATATCCAATTTAGATTGAATCTGTTGACAAGAATGGATACAATCAATTATTTTATTGACGGACAAAATCCTACCAGTTAAGGTAGTTCAAATTATCCCATTTTGCTTGGTGTATTATCAACAGTGATAAGGATTGACTTACTCTATCTCGTTGTGTCAAAGTACGTTCTCTTTCGTGTTCGGCTAGTCTATATTTTTGGGCCATTTCTTGTGCTTCTTTTTTATATGAATCGCAAGTAGATTTAAGTTGAGCCCATGACTCTTGTATAGACTTCAATTTAGAGTTTGATTCCGATAGTTGATCTCGTAGTAATTGATATTCATTATCACTTCTATTAACAATACTCGATTCTAACATCTTGACGGGAACATTATTATTCGTACTAATAGACATAGGTGAGCCAAAAGATGTTAATAAATTGGGAAGCATAGGAGGTTGCCCATGTCGATGACCCATTTGTCCTTGATTTATAAGTACCGAAGACTATACAACATCAAAAAGTAAGCAAATTAATGATACAATCATCGACTGCATGTACATCAAAACGCTTCATCAATTGATCACTCATCCACTTACATCTGTAGAACTGAAGCTATTAAATGCCGATTGAAAGATATCTCCTTTCATATGAAAGGTATCATCTCTCGTGGTTGGGCTATCTTGCCTTCCTCCTTCTAATGAAACTTTTCTACCTATTGGTCCTATATTGGAAGTGGCCTGCTCAGTCATATTTAATTTATTTAATTTATCTAACTCTTCGAATAGATCACTGCCACCATCATCCCCAGCTGTAAAGTCATTAAGATTAGATCCTTTAAAGCCAGAAGAAACCGAAGTAGGAGTGCCAGTTGATCCTTGGCGTTGCCGGTTAGATGAATTAGTTATAACAGAATTAAGAGGCTGTAGACAAGAGTGGTCAAAAAATTAAATTAGATCGCTATTGATTTTTACTAGGTTTAAAAAGTGTCTAATAATTGAATCATTGTATCGAAAGTGGATACAATTCATTTTCGACATGTATGAAAAACAATCAAGTCGTAATATCATGCCAATGATATGAGTATATTTTACATAAAGTACAACTCCATCCCTATATAATATAATTAATTCTTACATCATTGAGTCTAAAAATTAAACCTACAGTTGCTGCACCAAAGACATTTGTAGATGATACTCCAATAGGACTAGTAGCTGAGGAATTTGTCATTCTACTACTTGACGGCGTACCGCCATCATCGTCAGTATCCGTTTGACTTCGGGTCACTTTGGAGACAAAAAGAGAATAATTGTAAGAATTTTCCTATGCATACAATTTATTACGCCAGCTTAAACAGTAAAATCGATCACACGACGACAAAGGAATAGTGATCCTTACCATCATGGGAAAAGGCACAAAACGGTCCACGGGGACATTTACCAGTTTGATACATATCATTGCATTTACACGACTTGTAAATCTGTCGAGGATGAAATACAATTGAGTTCAAGTACGCACATTTTAAGTTACTAAGCACCTTAGACGAATAAAATCATTCATCATAATTGCTCTTCGCTAAGCATGACTATCGTAAATAGTCTGTACATTGATAAAGTAGAAAAAGCTGCTCTTTCTAAAATTCAGTACTTGTACGTGTCTGTCTATGAGTTAATAATCCATTACAAAATCAATTATCGTTAGCAAATTTACCTCCGGATGGAATTGTTGTTCCGTTCTAGTATGGCAATATTGGCATTCATCGCCGCTCTCACAAATAGTAGGATCTCCCCATTCATCACCATGTTTAACGGTTGGACAAGGTATAGATCTAAAAGATTAGTGTAGTTTGTTAGACAAAATGTATAACCTAATTTTCAAGGTTGATACCTAAACTAATCTATTTTACGTTTCAGTACGTTAACTATTAGTAAACAGTTGAAAATTGCTTTGATATACTTGATAAGTGTATCACTAACCTGTATTTAATATTGGCCGGGCACCTTCTTCTATCTCGATTACTATGATAATACGGACAAGCATATCCTTGACGACAGGTTTTAGGTGGCTTATTACAAGGTTCGGTTTTGTATGTATTGACGACAAAATTTTTATCTGTTGATAAAGTCAAGTAATCCATTGCATTAGAATCACTTCGCTAGTATTATCTTCACAATTGGCAGAGTGTTGTCAAAGTGAAAATAAGATATCTTTATATTATGAAGAGCTAACAATTGAATTTACATCGAAGAATAACAACATATAAAATCAATCAGTCACGAACCCTTACCATGCCATAGGGAATCTTCTGGTATAATTTTTTCTATCCCAGCTTCTTTACGTTCTAAAGCTTGAATTTCACGAACATCGAAAACAGGTTGGCGTAGATCATCGTCACCATGAGCAAATGCACAATGTGGACCATTCTTAACACAAAAACCTTTTGAATCGGTTTCATATATACACTTTGAAGTCTTATAATAGCGTAAATGATAACGACGTTCTGTATCACCGGCAGTTCGATGCAAATAAGGACAACTAAAAGAGTATAAAGTAAAAAGTTAGCAAGACAGTTTGACTGGTAACTACTGTACAATTGTCAGTGCAGTCAACAAATTTTCAATTCCATCTTACGATTGCCAAGTGACTACATAAGTTGCTCAGTCTACTACCGATTTACGATCAGATGAATACTGAAGATCAAAGAGAGCATACCATAAGTCATTTCTAGCATGGTAGAGTAGTATCGGCAACATAAAGAGTGGAGTAAATGATAGCATGTGGTACAATATAGGATATTGATGAGCTTATAATGGCAGGGAGTAAATAGCGAAGTTCAAGGATAGCTTATTGTATCATTATCAAGGAATTTATATATAAGCTTATGGTGGTAGAGTAACGTCAGGAAATAAACAGTGATAGCCTACTGAGCGAAATAAAGTAGTATTATCATTTAATTGAACTTGATTATAGTTGTTTCCGATTACAAACAGTAACATTATTGAAAGCATCCATAGGGCGACCTTATAGGGTTTGCTTCCTAATCCATCTCTACTACTGGTTAGAGTAACAGAAAAAGGGCAAGGCTAGACGATGCCTTCATGACAAGTTTAGCCTTGAGATGGCACTAAGCCACAGACCATTTTACTACAGGACGACGTCTAGTGTGTTTGTAAAATTATCCTCAACAATCGCATCTTAATCGTACAACAGTAGGAATCGTGTCGGTATTGCTAAGCAATTACCTTGCGAAGAAATAAACAGCGATTGCTCAACTCCAAGGAAGTAACGACGCTATCAGCTATTATGTGTTTTCCCTCATTGAATCCTACTCGACAGTCTGTTTACTATTGGTAGACCTATTTTATTGGATTAATTACATTACTGAAGCGGATGCTGCCATATGAAGCATTGATGTCGCTTATTGGAACTATCCAATACATTCATACTGTACGAATAATGGAATCATTTAATAGAAAGCTACCACTATTCGTCGAAACACCTCCATGGATGAAGACTAACTTTATGAAATTATGTTGCCTACTTCATTCTGCATGAAGTAGACTGCCACTATTCACTACCACTTAAGATTGAACGAGTACTGTCTTGTTGAAACGATGTGGCTTAATTTCTTAGTAGAGCATCACTATTCACTATTGCGCATCATAGACAGAATAGCACCTTCCAAAAAAAAACGCTATGACCTACTCTATTAGTAGACTACCAATATTAATTATGAGGCACCATTGGATGAATAATGTCTTTTAGAAGGGTGATGTGGCCTGTTCCACTAGTAGACTACCACTATTTATTATCACACATCATTGAATGGATACTACCTTGTAGAAATGATGCAGCCTACACTATTATTACTAGCGTAGATTAAAGCATGGCTGAACGAATACTACCTTGTAGAAATAATGTAGCCTTAATCAGTAATTATTAGTAGAGTGGAGTAGACTAGTGCTATTCATAATCACTCATCACTGAACGGATACTACCTTGTAGAAAAAAAAAGTAGCTTCAATCATTCATTCTATATATTATTAGTCCAGACCACTCATATTCATCTCATCCACCATGATTGGATGAGAACTATCTTGTTGAAATGATGTGGCCTACTCTTGCATTATTTACGTATGAAATTCTTAGTGGAATAGACTACTACTCATCCCATACGATTGGATGACTACTATGGTAGTACCTTGTAGAAATGATGTGTCTTACTCTACTATTAATCATCATCATATATCACTGAACGAATACTACTATACTTTGTAGAAATTGAATGGCCTAATTCATTAGTGCAGTAGACTATATACAATTGATCATTACTATATATTACTGAACGAAGACTATCTTGTTGAAATTAGGTAGTCTACTTTATTCTTAGTAGAGTAAACTACCACCTATCATCACCACGTATCACTGAATGAATACTGCCTTGATGAAGTTAGACGGCCTATTCCTTTATTAGTTCAGTAGACTAGTTGAAAAGGTATAGCCTATTCCCTTATTAGCAGAGTAGACTACCACTAATCATCATCACTCATCACTGATTGAAAACCATGAAGGAATTACTACCTTGCTGGAATGATGCGAACTACTCTATCATTTATCATGATGCATCACTAAAGGAATACTACCTTATAGTCCATGCTTTACCCCATTTACTTACAGTACATTGCCACTAATACATCACTCAATGATGACTGCCTTGTTGCAATGATGAACGGATACAATTTTCAAGCCTGAAACATCTTACCAAATCATTCTCCAATCTATCCTATACACGTTGTATCTACTCGTACAATATACTTACTTATCTCCTGTTGGACAAATGCCTGTCGTTTCATCGTACTGGGTGCAATAAACATCCGGACTATAATTGAATGTACCATCGCGTAATTTTTTAGGTCGTCTCCGACGTTGATTAAGGAAATGCCAATTAAAACAAGTATAAGGTCGATGAGCGGTGCATTTGTGTTGTAGAAAGGACTGGCATTGCTCAGTGCGGAAGGATTTTAGATACCTAAAACGATCATTAACATGATAGAATGAATAAATGGTAATGTCTACGTTCGAATCCAGTTTAATACAGCGAATTAATACAGCAATCAAGGAGGATGATGTTGAGTTCAAGTACAGAGTATCTTGAAATGATAGCAGCAATAAGAAAAGAAATACACACTGCTGCAAACGCGAAGAAGAAGATTACAATTATTCAAGTCAATCATCAATCAGGATTGCAAGGAAACGGTCAAGAAACAAGACGAAAAATGCCAATAAGAATGACTTCTATCTAGACGTCATGGCTTGAATGGTGAAATAGAGCACGACGATAAGTGGAAAAAAAAAAAAAATGAAAAGCCAACGTGCACAAAAGGATAACATAGTCAAGATGAAGAATGGTTGTAAGAATGGAAAGGAAGGGAGAAGACAAAATGACGATGACGACTATGCTCCCGTAATGCAATTATATTATCATTTGAAACAACAGACTAGCAGGATCGACTGTCTACTACGGTCCAATAATGACTAAAACTGTCTAGTCTATGCAGTCCTATTCTATCCATTGACTGCTATCCTTTCACACCAGCTCGCTGGAAGAAACGTATCCAGTTAATCCTATTTCTTCAACGGATTGACTGTCTATGACAACCATAGCATTTCATATGGCAGAATGGCTCAACTTATGCAAAAGGCAAGATAGGGGTATAGAACTGAGAGCTACTCCTTTATGCGTCGAGCTTTCAACAGAATGTGCATGATGGATTGACAGAATTTTCCCTTTTTCAATGGAAATAGGACTCCATAATATTGTTTTCAACATGACTGAACTCATGCAAAAGTCAAGAAATACAACCGGGTGCTACTCGATGGATCGAGCTTTCAACAGAATAAGTAATAATGGATTGCAAGTGAGTTTATCCTTTGCATGGAAACGGAGCCCCATTTTAAAGATTGCTTTTAACATGACAGACTGGCTTAACTCCTGTAAAAGTCAAGATGTAAAACCAAGTGAAACACTTCCGCAGTTGCTTTCTGGGTCGAGCTTTTAATAGAATGGGCGGTTATGCATTGGAAATGAATTTTTCACTTTTTTACTTATTTTTAACGTGACAAAATGGCTCGACCTATGCTAAGGTCAAGATATAAAACTGAGTGCAATTCCTTTCTACAGTTACCCTACCCGTCGACCTTTTAACAGAAAATAGTCAGTGATGGATTGGAGATGATTTTCATGAAAATGCATCTGCATGATTACGCTTTATCACCGTGGGAATTGCAATCCGCAAGAATTGGATCACGATGATCAAGCTCCAATGTGGTTGACGATAAAAGTCCAATCTCGATTATTTCTTGTCCATCTTGGGCTAAAAGATAGAACGTTGCAAGATACTCTTTGGTGGATCATTGCTCTACTTGTCGATCGTCCATGTATTACAAACCATAACGTTCGTCTCATGTCCATCATCTTCTGGCTTATAATGCAAGCGGTTAGGTTTTGCAAGAATAGCCAAGCAATTTTTGGACACGATAATTAGTCCGTGTTTTGTTAACGGAAAAGAAATAGAGGTCTACAACGTGCATCGAATATTGAATCCTACTACGGTAAGGTGGACTGGATTAGAGTATGAAGATGATGCAGTTTCAGATTCAATGATTCGTCCGTAGCTTGTTCACAGCTTAATGCAGTACAGTAAGCGCCTGATTAGAGTACAAAAACGATGCCATTTTAGACCCAATTCTTCGTCCATATCTTGTTAACAGGAAAGAAATGAAAGACAACAACGTTCATCAAGAATCTATCATCCTATTGGACTTGAACCAACACTCGATATCAATATATACTGCAAGTTGAAACGTGAGCTCCATTTCGTCCCTCTTCTGCTCTACAATGAGCCGATAAAACTTGAACAAGAAGAGCAACAGTCGCTCTCCATGCAAGGAATGGATTCCTACTCAATTGCACTATGCATTTACTTGCCATATTCTTCAAAATGATTCAACTGCCATCAGGCTTGGCTATCGCCTTCCCTCCAGCCAAGTTACTGTTGTCCAATAACAGTCTCCTGTTTTGCTCAAGTCTTTCAAGTAGTATCCACCATCGGTTAAATGAATCCAGTGCAACTCCAGTCGATCAATGAATATCTTAAAGTTGTACTCGTCTCCGCATGTGTGAATAAGCTTAAAAGGAAGGTGAAGAAATAGTACTAGTCGAAGTGAATCATGTCGATACATTAGTAGTGTACCTCACATGGATATAAATCTATTTCCATGTCCGTGTTAGTATTTACGACATGGAAGGGTAAGCTAAGCGATGGATGGAGCCCCTGATAAACATCATTGAAAACTTGATGCCTATTTACCCTAAAGCAATTCAATCCGAGTCAGTCGATGCATATACAAACATGCAATGTCTCTTCAATGTCTAGCAGTCCTCCTATGTCTAGCTCATCTTCTCTTGCGTTTTGATTGCTTGTCTGTAGCGCATTTTACGACTGTAAAATGAATCCAAGTGGCTATCCTAGCGTTAGTATGCAATAGTTGCTTTACCCCATCATTTATCTATCATAAGCCATCATCTATCGATCTCTTTTCTAGCTATCGGAGTTGGTTGCAGTACTGGGAAGCTCATCAAGGAGCTGCTGCATCCCAATCTATCCATCTATCCTTTCTGCATAGGTTTCAGTATTCATCTAAAACAGCGATTCGATCATTCCTGTCCATTGGGTTAGGACCCATCTGCTTGATTCAATGCATGTTGCAGTCCATTTTTTAATCAACGTAGTACAGTGATGTATTAAGAGCCTTCTCTCTTCTTCATCGGACTACATTTAAGTACAAGTTGTAACAATTCTTTTTCGCTTTCTACCATGAAGTAGGGCAACATGTTGGGGTAATGCTCTCTTCTCCATCTTACTACATAAAAGTACAAGTTTATTTTGCCTATCCAATAACTCCTTTCCACTTTCAACTACGTCGTGCAGGGATGTGTTTTAGGGCCATCGTTTCTTCTCCATGCATTCAAGTACAAATGGCTGTCTATCCAACAACGATTTTTTTGGCTTTCTACCATAGAATAGAAGGATGTGTTTGGACCTTGCTCTATTTTCCATTTTACTCCATCCTTAGAGTACTTCATCATCCAGACACACCGCTGCTGTCTATCCAACAACGACTGGTTTTCAACACGAAACACCGTAATAGGATAGAGGAGAGCCATCATTTAATAGTCAATTTTACTCTATTTCAGCAATCCGAGAACCAAGCTGCTACACTGCATTCTACCCTATTAGGCTAGGATGCAAATCTCATGCACTATTTCAACAGCATGTCTTACTTTATCTTTCTTCGACTGTTTCCAATTGGCATAATTTAGAAATACATGATAGCTCATTCTACCTGCATTCATTTTTAAATCGATATGGGTGCGCATAGCACAAGATTGAGAAATAGACGATAGCTTATTCTACCTGCATCTATTTTCAAATCGATATGGGTGTGCATAGCACAAGATTTAGAAATAGACGATAGCTTATTCTACCTGCATCTATTTTCAAATCGATATGGGTGTGCATAGCACAAGATTTAGAAATAGACGATAGCCTATTCTACCTGCATCCATTTTCAAATCAATATGGGTGCGCATAGCACAAGATTGAGAAAGACACGATAGCCTATTCTACCTGCATCCATTTTCAAATCGATATGGGTAGGCATAATTCACGATTGAGAAAAGCATAACAGCCTCTAACTTACCCTCATCTATTTTCAAATCGTCAAACATTGTCATAGTACAGTCAAAGACAGCTCGAAGGAAGCACCATCAAGTTATTCTGTTGCTGCTTCCTATCGATCTTTTTTCCCGCTGTCTTTATTATAAGCATTAGCAGTAGGAAAGCATCGACTGCAAAACTAGTTCATGGGTATCCCGATCCCTTTTAGGCCATCCTCAAGCAACCCTTCTCCCAGACAAATCATGGATGATGGATGTCGACATGAGCGAAAAGTATCAAGAAACTAGCAGAATAACAACAAGCCTGTGATTGGTTTGTCCATTGAAGTATTTCCTCCCCTCTCGTGCCATGATGGCAAGCGAGATTGTCAATCTTTTTCTACTTTCTTGCTATACCAACATGGCTGTACAAGTGATGATGGAAACCGCGATCGATAGTATCCTTTTTTTATAAATTTAAAAGAGGAATAGATGGAAACGATTGATGGTTTGAAAGAGATTGCACTATGGCACAGAGGAGAATGCCAGTAATCCATCTGGACGAAATTGTGGCCTTGAAAGCAGTCTAGTTATCCCTTTCTAAAGAGGAATGGATGGGAACGTTTGATCGATTGAAAGACTACACTATGGAGTAGAGGAGAATGCCAGCAATCCATCCGGACGAAATGATGGCCTTGAAAGCAGTCTAGGTATCCCTTTATTTCGATTTAAAACAGGAACGGATGGAAATGTTTAACTTGATGACTACAGCTAGGATAACTTTGTGTTCAATTGATTGGCAATGGATTAAGTCCAGGAAAAGAGAGAAAGGGCGAAACGACGAAATCAATGCCATGTCCACGACAAATAACATTCTCTGACTAGGTCAAGAAGCTTCTTCTCAAACTCGTCGCTTACCTATCTTGCCATGGCTCCATTATCAAGGCATCGTTATGGTCGATCAAGTTCATCAATCTGTTGTAGTTGAATGGTGGGCTAGCTTGCCTAAGGTAGTTCACTGGATTACTTTGAAGTAAGCTGGCGAAAGATGGACAATTCAACGTATGTATTGCCCCATTTCATCCTGTCCAATTTGGGGTAAAGCATCATCACTTGGTGTTGATCTCTTCCCTTTCAACTCTACCCTACCCCAAAAGCCTTATTCAGCAATAGCAAGCAAGACTCAACAAGGATGGAAAGATGCTTGACGATTGCCCTCATCTTGTTCCATCCCTTGGCTGCCTTTATCCCGTCTTGAATCATTCTACGAGGATATTAAGCAATCACTAAAACAATTTTGCTATATCCAATTGAC